TGAACTCCCTGACGTTAGACAGCTTCCTCCTCTTCCGACAGACGACGACTACGATGAGGTAGATATACTGCTTGTCCGTTCTTGTCACTCATCAATTTCTATCCGATGCCTGTACAAAATGTGCATAGTAATTGGGTAAATTTGCTGGGAAGTCGACATTAGGTACGCTATACTCCGAACTTTCGTACCACGTTGGGCCCCCACGTTATCTCATGGCATGACAGCCATGGGCAAATGAATAGGCCACCGCGACCTATTTGGGGAATTTCTGAGGGCAAATCGGGGAGTTGCCGTAACCGGGGGATTTCCGTGGAGAAACCAGGGAATCCCAACTAGAAAAATGGGTGGCTCCATTGTGGGAATGGAGAGACGGTGGGCTAACAGTGGGTAAATGTTGGGCAAACGGTGGTTCCACCGTGGGATGGACGAGTTTGGAGGGCGCATGATGAGGAAATGGTGCGCCCACCGTGGAATTGATAATAGTAGTGGGTTAACGGTGGGATAGGTGGGAGTGGATGCCATATATGGGGAATAACCGGTGATAACGGTGGGACTACCGTCAGTGGTCTACCGTGGGATAATAGTGGGCCTACCGTGTTAGTAGAGTTCAGAATAGTACGGATATTTAATGACACGCTCTTCCAGATCTTATGTCTAAAGCTCACCAAATCTTCATTTTTCTTCATTTTCTCGTTTTCAGTTACCTCTTTGCACATTCATTCTCGATTGAACTGAACTTCATGTAGTTCTGAAGTGGTTGGTTATTGGCAAAAGTGCACTATTAGTCATCTATTCTTTTGTATCCTTATCATTCACAAGTGCATAATTCATGAACACATAAGTCTGCAAGTCGTGATATTTACTCCATCTTACATGTGTCACACTATTCGTGGCTTCTCTTCTTGAACGCGCTAATCCTTGCAGTCATTTTCCGTACTTTTCCGTATTTTCCGTAAATGTGTGTTCCAGCATAACTTTTTTTGGTTTATGAATCCGAATCTCAAAAAAAAAAAGCGCACAGCGTTTTCCACCTCGCCGAAAATCGGTTCTAACTATATTGTAAGCTGCAGTTCCAACCTGAAAGCAGGGAGAGTTTCTTGAAAATTTTTCTTGTTGAAATCACGACCTAGAATTGTCGCTTTTTTACTGCAAGAATTTATTTTCAGGACTGTTCTCTTGAAAAAATCTAAACATGCAGTTTCTGTTTGTGACAGGTCGCTGATCGAACCAAGATGCTGAAGGCATCTTAGCGAAATTTCTATATGATTTTCTAGCTATCACTTTTGTGGAAAACTGTCCATGGACCAAATTCCTGGGGGTTCTTATGAGTTCAGAGAAGCTTTGAGGGTTCTCATCGGGATTTTGCCAGAGTTTAGTTTGAGTGTGATCCCTTATGAAGTTCAAAGGAGTAATTGTGGAGATGTCTAGGACTTCAAGGCTCAGTTCAAATTACTCGGGTTCTAGCGGGAAGTTTTTATCGCAGTGCTACCAGTGAATTTGCCTGGATCGCAAATATGAATGAGCGAAATTCTAGGTTCTGGCTACTGTCTTCTACTTCTCACTTCCTAAAACCTTTGGTTGGAAGTTTAAGGAGAGAATGTTTTTGCTCCTCTGATCACTTTCCTCATGACCGTCACCGCAGCAGGTGATGATAATCCGTGAGATATTTATTGATCCATGTTGACCACATTCGTCACATCCATACATTTTTTCGCCTTTCCATAAGCACCCAACTATATACATATTATTCTTTGTAGGATGTGTTTGCTGTAAGTACTTGTTATCCTTGAGTCT